GAATGTCTTAATACTAAAAACTCAAGATCAAATATCGTATTAATGCCTTCTACTACTGAGTCTTTCCCTCTCCAACTCCAACTTGAACTTTTCCCTTTCCAACTCTTGCTTTAGCCAAGAAAATTTTGAGCTAATTGATTTTATGCCCCTAAACATATCTCAATATTCTCATTTCACAAACAAACGAGTATCTAACATAAAAAGCTCACTACCATCTTCAACTCCAAGCAAAGTTAACAATACACCCATACATTCTTCAATACTACCAGTAGGTGCTTTATAGTTCTTCTTTGACGATTCACTCAAACTAGTAAAGGTATAACTTTCAACTGCATCACAAAGATTATCCAATTGTCTTTGCAAGTATGTTGCAACCCCTGATTTCATTTTCTTCCCTTTGCCTGTAATTGAAGAACTAATTGTGTTTTTCTTCCTTTTTGCAGTGCTTCCTTCAGTTTGTGTCGACATGATATTCACCTCATTAGAATCACCACTTCTTTTATCTAAATCAATAGCATCTTCAACCCCCACGTCCTGTTGTTCTGGAACAATAGCACCGGCAGCTAGAGTCCATGTAGTTTCATCGATGACCACTATTTTGGCAAACATTATCTTCAATTCCATTGTGTTTTTTAATCCATGATGCTCAAACTTACCATATTCCTTGTTTTCCTATAATAAATATAACATATTAGAAGTTTAAAGTTAAAATTAACAAAGTAAAATACAAAAACTCAAAATCATTAACAATAAAGGAATATAATTAACCACTGTCAATACAGCCCATCGCTGAGGAGTAGCATCAATTGTGCCCTTTTCATGATTCCACCCTAATCCTATTTCTTGCCTTAAGAGTTGATTCCACAAAATCCAATCACTTTTTGATGCATCCCACCTATTTCTTAGTTGTTTATAAACATATTTGTTTTTTGCTTTTTCATTAAATTTTTTTTTCCACATTCCGCCACCATATTTTATTAAAAGTATTATTGGGACAATTACCAGCTATAACCTCTTCCACACATACCTCGCACAAAATTTTTGTTTTCATTGCATCCCACTGTGCCTTTGACCTTTTTTTTTTTATTTTTTTGCCATCTTATATATTGAAATAATTTTGCCTTTAAAACAAGATCTATAAACATATAAACATAAATGTTGGATAATGGAAGTATGGAACCACAACAAAAAACAGAATGTTAAAACAAAGGAGAATTATTAGATAAAGCTAATACATATTGATGTCATCTTCCAGACAATCACTTTATGTTCTAACATATAAATATTCATTACAATAAAAACAATAAATCAAGTCAGACAAGAAATTGAAACAGCCGCACCAACCAAAGAAATGGTAAATTCAGAAATGCTAAAATAAAGCCTTGGATCCCCACAACTTTTCTAAATATCAGAAATGCTAAAATATAGTAAAATTCACAAGATAAGAGGAGGCAAAGCACACAAGCATCATGATTTACTAGTTCTTTGCCATAAATCCATGAAGTTTATTATCCAAAAATAGAAACAACAAGTTAAAAATAGAAGAAAAATGCAAAAAAATTTAGATTTGTTGAGGAATGAGAGAACATGAAGCCATTTTTAATAATTTTCAGAGAACCCCTGTTCGTGCTAATTAAAGAAACAATGGCAGAGTATACAAGACACAACAATCTGCAGAGATCTGACATTAGGAAGTAGAAGAAGAAACAATAATAATCAAGCAAAAATCTTCAAAAAATCTTCAATCAAAAAGAAAAGGAAGGGGAGCAAGGGGAGCTTACTGGTAATGGCTTTGTAGATCCCGGTGGCAATGGGTGAACAGTCCGCTACAAAATTAGAAAAATTAGGGGGAAAATTAGGGATTTGGGGTAGGAAAAATCGAAGAAAATAAAGGGGAAGGAAGGATGGGCAGCTTACTTGAAAATGTATCTAGATCCTTAAGCTCCTAGCAGTCATATCACGCTAAGTACCGACAATTAGGGATTTTCATGGATTTTCGTGGTCGTCTCATGGTCCCGATCTAGAATAAGACAGGGAATGAGAAGGGATTTTCGGTTTACTCTCTCACCAACTCATGCTACCACTACCAACAATCATCATTCATCACCACCAAATTAGTAACAGAAACACCAAAAAAGGACAAAAAAAATTAGAGAAAAGGAAGGAGATGCACAAAAGAAGAAGGAGAAATGGGATTTTTGGCCTTTTTGTTGGCTAAGTTGTGCTTTTCTACTTTGGAGCAGTTAGGGAGAAAGAAGGTCGGTCACTAGATGGTAGGGATTTTCTAGACTGCTTAGGAATAAGATGGGCTAGAAGACAGGGAGAAGAAACACAGAATTCTAGGCTGCTTGAGAAAGAAAGAAACGGGAAAGTTATAAATGGAACCCTATATATAGTGGTTCCTTTGTACATAGAAGGAATTATGAGGATAAAATAAGAATAATGTGTTAGTTTCATTAAAACCAAAATGAGAAGCTCCTATAGAAGCACCAATTCGGTGCTTTTGAGATTTGTAATGGAATGGAAGAAAAGACCAACTTATGAGAAGTTGTAGTATTTTTTGCAAGTTGTAATGTTTGGTGTAGCTTGTGCTTTTGAAACTGAAAAGTCCTTCCCACAAGTTGCACCAAAAAGGGTCTAAATCTTATAATTTTGTTCCTAAAATAATCCTTGTAGGAGAAGAAATCGATCTTTGCTCGTAAACAAAAATGCTAATTACCCTTAATTTACCTTCAATGAGAGATTATAACATCATTTTACCATTACACTAGGAAGACAAGATTTCACCATTTCAATCCTCTTTCACCCTCTGAAAAAAGCCACATGGCCAACATATCCATCACAACTTGTAGTAAAGTGTAACATTCCAAAACTGTGTTTGTTAGTTTTGTTTTGTTTTGTTTTTTGTTTTTTGTTTTTTGTTTTTTTTTTTGGACCAATCTAGTAAGTGGTCATAAATTTTTCTCGGGCGCCTTTTCAATAATACCCTGGACGATCACTTACTCAAAAATTTCTAGTGTGCATATTTAACTTGCAATGAGACTAGAAAACTGGCTGCAAAGTGCAAATAGCAAGATATTATATATGTAATGTCGAGCACCATAAAAAATTGGAAAAAATTGTTCGAAAGAGGAAGGCTAGATGATGTCTTTCTATGGCAAGATATATTTTCTTAATTTTTTTTACATTGGATAATAAATTATATAATAAAAAATAATAATTTTTTAAAATTCTTTCACACCCAACTCAGTAATTAAATTAAAAATTTTTAATATGCAGTTTCATACTCTTAATCTACTGTAATGTCTCTTAATAGACATATTTTATTAATAATTTTCCAACCAAAAACAAATTTAGCACAACTACAATAGTATTACTATTACTGTCTTTTTAACTAGTGTTCATTTAAGACTTTAAGTACATTTTTTATTATTAATTTTCATAAAAATTATAAAAGTAAGTTTTATTTTTATTATCAATATTATATAAATAATTTAATTAATCAATTAATAAAATTTAAAATAATTTTTATTTTTTATATAAATTAATAATAAAAAATAATAAATATACCTTTAACA